ACAAAGACAATGTATAATATCTTATAAAAGATCAACATGATAATGTGACCGTTGAAAGAATCTTATTGTCAAAATGATATTATAAGTCATGATTTAAAATCACTTTTCTTTTATCAATCATTAATTCCTAATAATTAAAGATAATTGTATTTGATTATACTAAAAATCATATATTATTTTACTTAAAAAAACAAAATAACCATATAATAGTTATACAAATGAATAATTTTAATATTAATTAAAGATATTAATTTGTAAAATATTAGTCGTTTTTTATTTATTTTATAATAAAATTATTAAATTAATAAATATACTTATGGATAATAAATTATGTGAAAAATAAAATTAATCTATTAAATTCCTACAAAAAAAAGATTGTAATATATATATATATATATATAAAATATTAAACATCACAAATTATTTTGAATTTATTACAATGATTATTAAGTTTAAAAAAATTATAATTTAAAATAATTAAAATTTTAAAAGATAGCAAGTTTATAATTCATGTTTTAAATGAGCAAATAGTTAATTTTACATAACTTCCTTTTAAGTGATAAAAATTTCACTTTTTTTAAATGGGTAATAAATCAACCTTAAAATAATAATTTTGATCACTTTCATCAAGTTAAAACCAACACCACCACTACGTAAAATCACAAAACGCGTATCAAACATAATGATTTAATCATCATGTGCAAATCACCATAATTTTTTGATGATCCCCTTATTCTAAATACTAATTGAAGGTATTTTCACATTTAAGTTATTTATCACAAAATAGATTACTTTCACTATATTAAATAAAAATATTTTTTTGAATGATAATTTTAACTTGTGCTTTAAAAACACTTATTAGTTAAACTTTTTATTTAATTAACCTTTTTGCTAACAATGTATGTGTAATGCACCGAAAAAAAAAAAGGAAAAAAAAGTGAATTAAAGGTATTAAAGGTATTTTCACAAAAAAAAAAAGAGAGAAAAATAAGTTAAATTTCATTTAATTGGTAATTTTATTATAGAAAACTATTATTTTGCAATGGGAAAGAAAGAGATAAGAGGAAAAAAGTCTAATAATTAAAACATATAAAATACGTTACTTTGTAACTCCTCTAAACCTTACTATAGGTCGAGCTAAATCAATTTGGCTCGAGTCTTAATGCAACATTAATATATTAATAGACTTTAAACTTGTCTAAATCCAACCTGACCTAATAATTCAAATCTAAGCCCAAATTATCTTAAATAAAAAATTGCAATCTATGTGTGTCCAAACCTAACTAAAATTTAATTTATTTTAAATAAAAATAAAAAAATCCCTATTGAATAATAATTATGACAAAATAAATAACCACAAATAAAACTTTGTTAATTATTTAATGTTTGAATGAGGTATAATACATGTACACATAAGATATTAATATGCATATACACAACATCGAATTAAATTTTATATCCATAATTTTAGGATTGATTACCAAATAAAAATCATTTTTCATCTTAGTTTTGAAAATTTTACCCGTTTTATCTATAAAAAATAATCTTTGCATCTATTTCTTTCACTATTATATCATTTTTTATTATTTGCATCCACGTAATTCGTGACTTTTATAAGTTTTGTTCTCTCTTAAATCCATAAACTTATTTCTCCTAATTAGAGCACAAATAACCTATGTGTCACATGTTTAAACCCTTTCAAATAACCATTTTATTTATTTTTTTCTTAATTTGAACGATCCCTAATTATCTTTGAATCTTTTTATTTTTTTTATTTTGTCTCTTTTAATCTTACCATCCATATAAACATCCTTATTTAAGTTATACTCGTTTTCTTTTTACCTTGTTTCAATACTTACACACTTACTTCCATATAACGATGCAGCTTTTATAAATATTTTATACAAATTTTCCTTTTACTTAAATGGCAAGTTGTTATCACACAATACACCTAAAGCATTTTACCACCTTATTCATCTATTTTCACTCTCATGATTTACCCTTCACATTATTTTAAATAATTAATTTTAAATATAAAAATTGACTATTATGTAATACTAACTTCCTATCCAATTTAATAACTAGCACTCATTTTCTTATAGCTACTAAACTTACATTTCATATAACTTATAGATTTACTTATTTAAAATATCGAGACTCATGTATTTTTTCATAATTTTAATTTTGTATTAAAATCATCACTAATTTTAGTAACTAAAACTATCACATCGACAACTAACATAAATTGTGACCCCATATCTTGAATATATCCAATTTGTTCGTAACTAATGCAAAAAATAAAAAATAATAATTTAATGTTAAGTCTTGATACATCATGAGATAATAAGAAAGCTATCAACCAAGAACTTAAACATCACCCTATTTATTACAACTAGTACGTGTAACTATGATAATGTACTTTAAAAAAACTCATTTCTTAATTAAAATCCATGAAAACACCTCTAAAAGATTTCTATTTATACTTTCTCCAAATTGATAAATTCTATACGTAAATCTTTCTATTTCTTCTGAAAATCCTTCAACAAGAGTGTGAATAAATGATATGCCTTTGTTATATAGCATTTTGACATAACCCAAATTAATTTTTGAAAATAGTAACTTCATATCACAATTACATTCAATTACTTTTTCTCATAATTTTTTTAATACGACTCAAAACTTTATTCATATATAGTTAAATATGTATATCTTTTTGTATAAAAACACTAAAATACGCTTATTCTATTCTAATATTTGAGTGTGCCAAAATTTATTAAAAAATTCTCAATCATCCTATATCTATTTCACTTAAGTATTTTCAAACTTCAATCAAAATTCCATATGACCCTATCATTTTCTTTGCTTTCATCATTCTCAAAACCTTTTTAACATCGTATTTTTTATATTATGTTTAAACGATTAATTTTTATCTTTAAACACTTATATTTTACTTAAAATTACCATTAAAATATTATAATCTCTCCATCATTGCTTGCTCTTATCTTTTACTAAAAATTTTTCATCACCATCTTTGATGCACTATAAGCAATTAAGATTTTTATTCTTTTTATCCCTCGTCTTAACAATTTTAAACTTTTTTTCTCCCTTTCATCTTTAATTTTTTTATATAATTCCTATAGATTCTAATTTTTAAATCTCGAATAATTTTTTGACTTACTTTTTTAATAATCTTATACTTTAGATAATGCACTTCATCTTTATTACTCTTTAAATTCCTATATCGATCTTACTTAGCTTTAATTATTATTTTCACATCCTCATTCTGCCAAGATTCCTTTTCTAATGAATTATAACACTTAGATTTGCCAAATGTTTCTTTAACAACCTTTTAAATTCTGATAGAAGCCTCTTCATATTAATCAACCTATTTTACCAATCTATCATTAAAAACTAACATTTTGTCTCCCTTTTAATTTCCCCACTTAATATTTGATTCATGACTCTGCCATATCCTCCTTTACCCCCAAAAGTGAGAGATATCTAAAATTAATACTCTATGAAGTCACACTCTCTATATAACCATACAATCTTTATAGCTACTTATATCCTCTTTCCTTAACAAAATAAAAATAAAAATAAATAAGTATATCAACTTGACTAGCATTTAACACTCCTAAAAAATATCCTAACACATGTTTAATATAATTGGATCAAATATAGTTGCAAACTTTGGCATATTAACCCTAGTCTCGTTTTTTACTGTAAAATCATATCCTTCACTAAAAATCAAAACTTGTTTATTTAAAACATACGAATTTTAAATACGCTGACAAAAGAAATTTTGAATGCATAACAAGTATGAAGTTTTGTTTCAAACGTTAAATTGACTCTTGGATAAGAAAAATGCCCAAAAAATTAAAAGCTGAATTTGGGTGACCATGGATTCAACTCTATATATGGGTTCGATGTATTTACATCCTCTATCATCGTGAGTAACCATTTTTGGACTAAAATTTTTAACCCCAATGACGCAAGTATTTAAAAAAGGGTAAATGGCTTACCCCTCTGATGATAATTTACTTGTACTGAAGCACATCTATTGGGCAGCTTTTGGAAAGAAATATTACATGAAAAGTGATTCTAACATAAATTACCGTGCAAATAACTTGCAAAAAAAAGTGGAAGAATATGAGTTTAAAATCATAAAACAAACGTGATAGTGAAAAAAATTGACTATCGTAAAGTTATAAATGAAATAACATGTGTGAACAGCAGTTTAAGACAACCATGAGTTTGGAATCATGAAACAAAAGTGATGGGGAAAAATATTGACCATCTTAAAGTTACAAATGAAATAACATATGTTAACAGCAGTAAGACAAAATCAATCAATTAGATAGCAAAGAAACATGCATATACCTTGAGGACATGAAGTCAAACAAGCTCCATCTTTTACAATTAGTCATGGCAAAGAATCATATGGACAGTTAGCATATAACAACAGAATCAAGGATCCTTTTTCAAAATGACTGATAATTTCAGCCAGACAGATGGCCTCTGCTTTACTAATCAGATTCACAAACAAAGTGGGGAGGGAAGGGCATGATGGCAAAGTACAGCTAGAATGCAATCTGTGTAGTTCAGATAAGTACAAAGATTAAATAAAGCAAGCATGAAGAGGAAACGAAATCCAGACTAGTCAAAACTTCAACTTTCCTATTTGACCAAAAAGGAAACTTACCTTTTAGAATTGTAACTTAAGTTGTTTCTGTTCGCTGTTGAGTTTTCTTTTTGGAAGGAAGATGTCGTTGACTAGTATAATCACAACTTTGTCAGATACAACAATTTTAGATACAACAGGAAAGGAGATGATTCTAGTGAGAGAAAAAGAAAAAGAAGGAAAACAAGAAAAGCAGTAAAATTGACAGAGATTCTAGAGCCCATGTGTGGTGATTCTGAATGTTATGTGAACTTCATTTCTCTCCTGTAAGCATTTAGAGTACAGAAAGTCTGATGCTATTCAAATCTTCTGTTGCCAGCACGAGAACAGTAATTGACCGATACAACAAAACAAAGGAGGAACATCAACAGCTGAGGAACCCAACCTCTGAAATCAAGGTATTATTTGGTACTTAATCCCAAAAATTCCCTCATTTTCCCTTCAGAGCATTTAGATTCTACCAGAAAAGAAAGAGGTAATATTGGAAGGCTAAGTAAATTTCCACTTGATAGACAAAACTTGTACAAACCTGAAAATGTAATGTGTGAAATTCAGCATTCACAAATTTGCATATACTGTTTTTGCTGGACCAAAAAGAGGACCAATAGAGCAAGAAACCATTTTTTTTTCAGGTTGGCAGTGGGTATAAGGTACTGACACGACAAAATGCTTGCAAAATTTTATAGCTAGACATTGGTTTCAGGTCTAGACTTTATGTAACCATTGACCAAAACTACACCAGAACCTGCAAGATAATACTTTGAATGCATTCCATTAACTCCTCTTCTGAGTGCTGGAATAGGAATGACTAATTGCATGCATAGGTTAAATTGCCATGCTAGGACTGTGTCGTACTCATAGCTACAGGACGATGAAATGGTACCAATAAGATATATATTGGATGACAACAAGGAAAATAAAATGGGGTCCAGGGTGAGCATCAGCAAGATCAAAATGCTAGGAAGCAAATTATTAGCTTCAGGTGAGACCATGGACATTAAATAAGAATCAGTTTGAATAAACCCAACATTCCACTTTTTCCTAAGAAAGGCTAGGCAACATCTAAATTAACGCTCATGCATCTCCAGAAATTATACCATAACCTTCAGAAAAACTAAGCCATGTTCCTGCTCAAGTTTGTGATTAAGATGTAAATAAAAACCTTTATTAGTCATATCCCACAACAATCCTTTTTCTGAGCTTGAGACCATGTAATTTGTAAAAGACAGGCTGTATCACCATAAACCTTGGGAAAACAATTGCCAAAAAGATATATACTATATAGGAATGATGGTACAGGCACAACCAGCAAAATAGTTTTCGCAACTAATAAATCGGAAAAACCACAATGAGATGATGTATGAGTCTAGGATATATTAGAAATATAAAAAAAAAATGAAAGGGAGGGAAGCTGCCATAAAGCTCAGACCACACATATAGAATTGATCAGTTTGAGCAGGTCTTAGATCTGACCGGTAAGATATCTTCCAATGACAAGAACTATGGTCAGATCATGCACTATTACTTATGTGGTATTTAATACTTAGCAACATGCATAAATTGCACGTTTTGTTTTATTTTTATGTACCAAAACATCCAGAAGCAACGTTTCCAATTATAAGTTACTGTGTGAAGCCATCATGAAAAGATTAATTTGAGTTTTGGTCAGTAGAAGATCAGTATACTGTAAACAAATAATGATGCAACAAAACAACACCAAAGATAAATGCACAGTGATAGAAGGTTAAAAAGAAGTTACTGGTTCTGTGACACTCAACCTGAAAAGGATAAGCAGAGAGAAACTACCACTTCTCTCAGCCTGTCGTCAAGATAAAAATCATTTTGTTAGAAACAATGTGCTTTGTATTTGTGGGTTGAGGGCAACTATAGCATAACCATGACTAGGATATAACAAATTAATAGAGCAAATTTCCAATGTCAACCATTATCTTAATGAAGCAAGGAAAGAAAGATTTTCTGAAGCTAGAAATACGACATAACATAGCAGTAGCTATCAAAGTTTCCTATGCCTAGGAAAGATATTTCCTTAATTTAGAGAGTCACTGCAAAATTTCGTCTGCAACTGTCTTCCTCTTCAAAGAAAAATTCGACCCAAATGTGTGAAGGGATGAAGCTTTGCGCTTGGCTCAAAGCCTACCCCTGAAAAATTATTGAAGTTAAATTCATCATTGCAAAATCTCCGCTACAAGGGTTGAAAATAGTAAAACCTACTTTATCTTTCCCTCATGTTTAAATCACTACACTATATTAATGTTCCAACGAGCAATTAGCTTAAAAATAGGAAAATAATTTCAATTACCCTTTCCATAAAGAATTCATCAAATTTCTTGAGAAATCATCTCTTCATCTCTTTTATGCCTCAGAATAGGAAAAAGCTTCCTCCAACAAATCACATGGACAACTCCAAAATCAACAACATATTCCAAGGGATAAACAAACCTTCTTATTCTTTGCTTCTAGATCAAATCCAGAGACTCATTATGATCATCTACTTTGAAATCCATTCCTCCACCTCTTTCATGTTTAAACTTTTTACTGGTGATATACATAGAAGCTAGAAGCATTCTCGACCATATTAGTCCTGGAAGAAAGTTTATACTTTGCAATTGTGTATAAATTTAACAAAGAATTTGGAGAAGTTGTAGCTTTAACAGCCTACTTGCTAAGTTGCTTGATCAGGCAATCTAACAAACAAGGGGCATTTTCATCTCTTTGCCTACTAACTTTTCAACAAGCAGTTACCTTAAAAAATAGGAAAATCCTTACAACTATCCCTTTCCCTAAGGTCATGTTTGGTACATAAAATTATGATAAGATAGGATAAGATAATATTACAAATAAGAGTAGATTAAATAATGTCATCTTATTTTGCATTTGATGTATCCAACGATTAGGATAGGATAATTTATTTATATGTCAAAATTATCCTTTCTCAAAGTTTATACAATTAAATTATTAATGTAAGTTTTATGGGTATAATTGGACATGTAAGTTTAATTCCATGGATTAAAAATAATCCTCTCCACTTAAGGAGGATTGAATAATCCTATGCTAAAAGGATATTAATCCTCCTTGCAATCCTTATCCCTCTCTTTAGATACAAATCAAATATGATATAAGATGATTATTATCCTATCCTATCAATAATCCTATGCATCATACATAACCTAAAGACTTCATCAATTTTCTGATAAGCCATCTCTTCATCTCTTTTATGCCTCAAAATAGGTAAAAGCTTCCTCCAATAAGTCCTATACATGGACAAGCTCCAAAGTCAACAATATATTCCAAGGGAAACAACATATGCCAAATCCAGAAACTCATCATTGATCATCTACTTTCATATTCATATCTCAACCTCTTTCATGCTTTTAAACTTTTACCAGTGAAATAGAAGCTAGAAGCATTCTCCAATCTCCAAATAGGAATCATATCACTCTAAGAAGAAAAGGCATCAATGGGTGCATAAAATTACAAATGGGATTTTGAGAAGTTATTAGCTCTAACAGCCTAGTTGCTAATTTGTTTGATCAGGCAATCTAAAAGTCAATGTGTTTTCATCTCTTTGCCTAATAACGTTTCAACAAGCAGTTACCTTAAAAAAAAGGAAAATCCTTACAGTTACGCCTTTCCTAAAGACTTCACCATTTTCTTGAGAAGCCATCTCTTCATCTCTTTTATGTCGCAAAACAGGCAAAAGCTGCTCCAATAAATCATATTCATGGACAACTCCAAAGTCAACAACATATTTCGAGGGCAAAATCTGTCATTCCTTGCTTCCAGATCAAATCCAAAGACTCATCTATGATCTATCTACTTTCAAATTCATATCTCCACCTCTTTCATGCTTTTAAACTTTTTACTGGTGATATACATAGAAGCTAGAAGCATTCTCCAATCTTCAAATAGAAACCATATTACTCCAAGAGGATAGTTTGTACTTTGCAATATCCAGAAGAAAATGCATCTAGCAGTGCATAAAAATTTCACATTGGATTTTGAGTAGTTAGCTCTAACAGCCTACTTTCTATATTGCTAGATCAGGCAATCAATAAAATCAGGGGCATTTCCATCTTTACCAATTAACATTTCAACAAGCAGTTACCTTAAAAAATAGGAAAATCCTTACAATTACCCCTTCCCTAAAGATGTCATCAATTTTCTTCAGAAGCCATCTCTTCATCTCTTTTACATCTCAAAATAGGTAAAAGCTGCCTCCAACAAATAATATTTATGGACAGCTCCAAAGTCAACAACATATTCCAAAGGCAAAATAGACCTTGCTGTTCCTTGCTTGTAGACCAAATTCAGAGACTCATTTATGGTCTATCTACTTTAGAATTCATATCTCTGCTCTCCTGCCTTTTTATGTTCTTAACTTTTTACTGGTGACACATAAAAGTTAGAAGCCTTCTCCAATCACCAAACCGAAATCATACTACTCCAAGAAGACAGTTTGTACATCACAATATACAGAAGAAAAAGTATCTATAGGTATATATAAATTTCACATGGGATTTTGAAAAGTTCTTGGCTCAAACAGCATAATTTTACTAGCTAAGTAGCATGATCAAGCAATGCAAATGAGGGGCGTTTTCATATCTTTGCCTATTAAAGGTTCTACAAGCAGAGACCTTAAAAAATAGGAAAATCCTTACAATTACGCCTTTCCCAAAGACCTCATCAATTTCCTTGAGAAGCAATCTCGTCATCTCTTTTATGGCTCAAAATAGGCAAAAGCTGCCTCCAGCAAATTATATTCATGGACAGCTGCAAAATCAACAACATATTCCAAGGGCAAAATAGACCTTGCCATTCTCTGCTTCTAGACCAAATCACAAGGCTCATCTATGATCATCTATGATCCATCTACTTTGGAATTCATATCTTCACCTTTCATATGCTTTAAACTTTTTACTGGTGATATACATAGAAGCTAGAAGCCTTTTCCAATATCCAAATAGAAATCATATTACTCCAAGAAGAAAGTTTATACATTGCAATATCCAGAAGATAAAAAGCATCTATTGGTGCTTAATAATTTCTTATGCGATCTTGAAAATTTTTAGCTCTAACAGACTACTTTTACTTGCTAAGTTGCCTGACCAGGCAATCCAAAAAAAAAAAAAAGAACCAAGCATATGGAGCAAGAGCCAAGAATGTGCAAACTTTGACAAGCACACCAAGAACTCGAAAAGTGACTTATCGTCCAAATAATTAAACTATCAAATTCCTGCTTTCACTAACACGTTAATTGAACTCATAATGCAACTTTCTCTACATGATCAAAAAACTTTCTAGCAAGAGCCTTGGACCGAAATATGTTTGATTCTGTTGTGAATTGCCTAGATTTTAGTGGTCATTCAGAGCATTGTCAAGTCTATATATATGCATGGTTATTGTGATGTTTCAGTGTCAAAGTTAGTTATGTGCATATTCATACTTTGAGCAGTAAAAGCTGTGCACTGCAAATCTTACCATACCATGAGTCTTATTTTTCAGTTCTGGCAAAGGGAGGCAGCAATTCTGAGCCAGCAACTGCAAAACTTGCAAGAAAATCACAGGTATGTTGATTTTTTGACAATAAAATTCATCATATCAAACATCAATGGAAATTTTGCAGAATCAAGATACCATATTAACATTAGACATTCTTTATAATACAACTTGTGCCCATATGTCTGAATTCAACACAGACAACCTCATGCTTTTCAACCAATAACATGAATTACTGAAATAAAAACTTCTTATTATTATGCAATCATCCTTAGGACGTCTATTTTTAATATTATGGTTCATATACTTGAAGATCAGATTGAATGAATCATCCATTCTTCAATTAAGATGAACACACAGAGATTAATGGTTCAAGACATTAATTAAAGTTCTGTAAAAGGTAAATTTCATATCTAACCTCAAAGCATAAAATGCATCAACGCTAGAAATGCCTCAAAGAATAGAAAGTGAATGAAAAGTCCACTGCATCTCATGTATATGCTTAAGAAAAGCTTTTATAATGTCTATGATACAAATTTCATAGACCAAAACTATGTTTTCACACACCAAAACAGGCAAATGATGGGTGAAGAACTTTCTGGATTGGGTGTAAAAGATTTACAGAATTTGGAAAGCCAATTGGAAATGAGTCTTCGTGGTGTCCGTATGAAGAAGGTTTGAAATTCTTATTTCAATGTCATGCTCAACTTTTTAAGTTCAAAAAGAAAGTAACTCCATGTTAGTAACGTTTTCTCCACTGATGTAGGACCAAATTTTGATGGATGAAATTCAAGAACTGAACAGAAAGGTAAACCCTGAAACAATAGATTCAGCTCATTACTATCCTACCGTCTCAGCTCAGTGGCTAGTTTGCATTGGCTCATTGCAGGGGAACCAAATTCATCAAGCAAATGTGGAACTCTATAAGAAGGTAAATCTAATTCGTCAAGAAAACTTGGAATTATATAAGAAGGTATAAATTTGAATTGCTCATAAAAATCTGAATTATCCTAGAAATAGTAAAAAGATTCAACCATTAAACTTTTGTCAGTTATGAGATGTTGTAAAAACCAACCTCAACAGAAAAGTTCCGCATCCCAGGTTTATGGAAAAAGGAATATGAATGATGCAAACAAAGACTCACTTCTCACAAATGGTCTGAGCTTTGGGGAGGACTCAAATGTTCCTGTTCATCTCCAGCTAAGCCAGCCACAACAACAAAACTACGAGACACCATCAAGAGCTACAAAATTGGGGTATATTTTCCTCCATATAGTAAATGATTTTGATACAGATTACATTGCCACAATTTGATCTCCTTTTTTTTTCAATTTAACTGCAGCAGACTGCAATTGCATTAGCAAAGCAGATGCATCAAAGTGGGATTGGATGTCACTCAACTTCTACCAACAAATAGCTCATGGTTCCAAAAGTTATGCTTCTCATAGTAAGATGTGGTATGTTAAAACCACCAATCATTCAGCAAAACAAAATTGGTTTGAAATGATTAAACAAATAGACTCTAGCATGTGTGCGATGATTAAGAAAAGCAGCTAGTTATGTAAAGATAAATTAAGTGCAATAAATAAAGGAGAAAATGGACATTGTAAAATTAAGGGTAATAAATAAAGGAGAAAACAGACATTGTATTCCGTGTGCAGTTTACTTTTTCGCATGTTTTAAGATAACTGGCAATGAGGTCACCATCACACTTATTTCAGTTTATTTCAATATGAAAAAGCTTAATGCAGTTCTCATCTCGTGGAACATATAAGACAGGAACAGGGTGCATCAGAAAGATATTAATATTTAGATAGGTGAACCTACAAACAAAATGATGAACTATAGAAGCATCACCAGCAAGATACTTAAAAGACAATTCAATGTAGCTTTACTGCAACTCAAATTTTAATGATAAAAAACAAGATGGAACACCTGTATGTGCCTTCTTTTTCTCCTTCAATACATAGCATACAGAAAAATGATACCATGGTCTGCAATATGAAAAGAATGGTTCATATAACAATCTGAGAACACTAGTTCAGGGTAACCATACAAAATAGCATTATTATGTTACCAAAACTATTAGAAGAGAAGGCAGAAAAAAAAAGTTTCTTCACTAATCAATACAAAACATGATTAGTTAATACATACCGATATTAAGAAACACAAACATATTATATAAATAGGATGGTAGTGCAATTTTAAAATGTGAAAACCATAAGATCATGTGAAGCTGCATAAGTATCTTCAAAATGTGAAGAGGCATAAGTATATTCCAAATCCCTTAAAACCTAGGACCATTTATTTCCTGAGAATAGTTTGCATTGACATAAGCAGCATAAACAGTTACCCACTGCAATTTTGGGCCTTAAAAGTAACATCAGGCTGCATCTAATTCCATCAAGTGTCAGGGTAAAGTATAGAAGCAGCGGACAGCATACAAGCATCCCAAGGAACGTTCACAACCCAACACTTGAAATGTCACAAAAATAGAGTTTCCAGAATAAGGAATTATAAGCATATGCTGCAAAAACTCTGCCTGTGGCCACAACACATGCCTATATCTGAGACCACAGCCGATCCCAAGCCCGGAAAAAGGAGGAGGGTTGCCACATGTGAAAAGAAGCATTAAAAACAATTATGGACTATCAAAATAACCTAAGTTTGGAATTGTAAAATAAATGCAATTATAACAAGAGTAATAGAACATGCATGTGTCATGCCCTGGGCAGGTGCACCAAGCGCACAAGCCCCAGCACCAGAGGTTAAGGCTCGACCACCAGGGACATTGGCGGGGGTTTGCGCACTAGGCCTTGAAAAGGAGTCCAGACCACCCACATAGCATACAGGCCTGTCCACACAGCCAGAGCCAAGCCAGCAAGACGCTCGCACCACACCTAGGAGGGCCCAAAGGAGTAAGTGCGCTCCAAGATCTTCCAGATGCAGCCAAGATCGACAGGAGCCTTCAGCAAGATCTGGTTGATCCTAAAAATCAAGAAGAGCCTTATGTATTAATGTGTAATCTATGTAATCCCTGATTTTTAAGAGATATTATAATCCCATGATTTTAGGGACTAGCCATAGGTAGAGCTGGGAGCCTCGACTATAAATAGAGGTTCACCCCACCCTACATTGTACATCATCAAACACTTTGCTTCAGTAATATATAATGCATATTCCATTAATTCTCTTGTTCTCTCAAACTTGCACATTCTGTCATTCCAATTGTTCTAGTGCTCGCACGCTTGAGTTTTAGGATGACTTAGGCTAAAAGGAAGTGATTCCAAGCCTAAAGCCGCACGGATTCTAAGTCTTAGGTCAGAGCCTGTGACAGTTGGTATCAGGCAGGTTCAGTTCAAGTTCTGCTTGTGTTTGTGTGCAGGTTAGATCGCAATTGAGGATATAACATCCCAGAGCAATGTTGCTAGCCAACAACCAAAGGCCCAAGAGCAAGGCCACGGAAGGGGCAAGAAAGCCAATTCGAGAGACATATGCTCTACCATGGACGAGAGGTTGTCCAAGATGGAGGTGACCATGGGCGATGCCAAGGAAAAGCTTGACAATGTGGAGACTCATGTTGAAGCCCTAGACTCCATAAAGGAAGAGCTTAAGGGTGAGTTGCAAGCTGCTCTCAATGAAGCCCTCGACATGATCACCCAGAGGAACAAAGTCTTGGAAGCCCAGGTGGAGACCATGCACAATGGGATGGTGGCCATGCGCAAAACGATGAAGGAGCTCAAGGGCGAGCTCACTGCTTGCAAGACTGCCATTGGGAATGGCATGTTTGCTGGAGTGTCTAAGACCCGTGTGGAGATTCCCAAGCCCAAAGAGTTCAAGGGGACAAGGGCGGCCAAAGAAGTAGACAACTACCTACGGGGGATGAAGCATTACTTCCGGGCCACGGGCATGCAAGATGATGCTACCAAGGTAAGCACCGCTTCAATGTATCTTACTGATGTTGCCTTATTGTGGTGGAGGCGCAAGTATGATAATGTTCGGTGCGGGGGCGCCATGATTGGAACCTGAGAGAAGTTCCAAAAAGAATTCAGGAGCAATTTTACCCAGAATACGCCAATGATGAGGGGCTGGCAAAGTTGCGCAAGCTTAGCCAGCAAAAGGACGTGAGGGAGTACGTCCAGAAATTCTCTGAACTGATGCTTCAGATCTCGGATCTGAGTGAGACAGAAGGTCTATTTGCTTTCATGGATGGGCTGAACCAGTGGGTGAAGCACGAGCTACAACGAAGGGGAATTCGTGACTTGGCTAAAGCCATGACTATTGCTGAGTCCTTGGTGGAGTTCAAACCACAGAACAAGTTTGAGTCTTCCAAGCCCAAGGGAAAAGGCAAGGACAAGAGGGATCGAGAGAGATAGTCCAAGGGAAAAGACCGTTATCGACAATCCAAGGATGGGGACCAAGACCGTTCGGACAAAAATGGTGAAAGGAAGCCACCAACAGGGAAGTGGAAGGCAAAGGGGAATCGAGAACCAATCTCATGCTACCTATGTGGAAAGGGACACGTAGCACACAATTGTTCAAAGAGGGGCAAGCTGGCTGTTGTAGACAAGGAGTCGGATGAGGGGCCAAAGGCAAGGGCAGCAAAGCTTCAGTCGTTGGTGCTCAATGTTGTTTAGAGTAAGGGGAGATGTAAGCCAAAAGGCTTGATGTTTGCAAATCTGATGGTTGCGGGCAGGAAAGTGAGCGCACTAGTGGACACAGGTGCCTCACATTTGTTTATTTCAGGTGATGGAGCCCAAAAACTTAGACTGAAGGTGCAAAAAAAGACTGGTACCATCAAGATGGTGAACTCCAAGGAGGTTCCAGCCATTGGAGTTGCGCAGGGAATGGAGTTACAGCTTGGAGACTGGAAGGGCAAGGAAACCATTACAGTAATACCCTTGGATGACTATGAGTTTGTGATTGGGTTAGATTTCCTTGTTCAGATTAATGCCCTCCTTGTGCCTTTTGCCAACTGTATTTGCATTCTGGATGCACGGGGCCAATGCCTTGTACTATTGAGGTGCAGGTCCAGGATTTGGTCCAAGGTGCTGTTGGCCATTCAATTTGCCAAGGCGGTGAACGGGGATGAAGACACTTTCTTGGCAGTCCTAAAGTAGAAGAACCAAGGGAGAAGGAAACCGACACCCCTTTGGAGGTGCTAAGGGTGCTAGAGGCCTTTAGCGATGTGATGCCCGCCAAGCTGCCAGGCAAGTTGCCACCTAAGAGAGAGGTGGACCACATGATTGAGCTAGTGTCCAAGGCCAAGCCACCAGCCAGGGCCCTTTACCGAATGTCTCCCCCAAAATTGGAGGAATTGAAGAAGTAGCTCGGGGAGCTGATTGATGTGGGGTACATCATGCCATCCAAGGCCCCGTATGGTGCACCGATGTTGTTCCAACGCAAGCATGATGGGTCGCTGCGGTTGTGTATAGACTACTGGGCATTGAACAAACTAACCGTGAAGAACAAGTATCCTATCCACTAATTGCGGACTTGTTCAATCAACTTGGAAGCGCAAGATGGTTTTCCAAGCTGGATTTGAGGTCAGGTTACTACCAGGTCAGGATCACGGAAGGAGATGAACCCAAGACAGCATGTGTTACTCGCTATGGTTCGTATAAGTTCTTGCTCATGCCATTCGGACTCACCAATGCTCCAGCCACGTTTTGCACCCTAATGAACAAGGTACTTCAATCATTCCTTGATCGTTTAGTTGTGGTTTATAGTTATGGTTTATCTTGATGATATTGTGGTGTATAGCCAAACATTGGAGGACCATGTGGATCACTTGAGATAGGTGTTTAAGGTGTCGCAGGCGAACGAACTCTGTCAAAAGGGAGAAGTGCTCATTTGCCCAGCAGGAGATCCTGTTCTTAGGCCACATAGTGGGAGGTGGTAGGAGACGCATGGATGAAGGCAAGGTGTGCACCATCTTGGAGTGGGAACCGCCGACCAAGGTCACTAAGTTGAGGTCATTCCTTAGGCTGATCAACTACTACAAGCGCTTCATCAAAGACCACTCAACCATAGCCACGCCATTGATTGACTTGCTCAAAAAAAGGAGAACATGGGAGTGGAGCGCAGGGTGCCAGGAAGCCTTTGATCGTTTGAAGCAAGCTGTGACCGAGGAGCCAATCTTGGCCTTGCCTAACCATGCCAAGCCATATGAGGTGCATACGGACGCCTCAGACTACACAATAGGGGGTGTGTTGATGCAGGAGGGTGGTCCGATTGCATTTAAGAGCCGGAAGCTCAATGAGACCAAGCTCAGGTACACGGTCCAAGAGAAGGAGATGATAGCTGTGGTGCACTGCTTGCGCACTTGG